TGCGGAGTGCGTGGGGCAGCTCCATCCTGCCTCATGGCAGTGACACTGGTACACTGCTTAGCCTGTTGCCCCACTGTGAGCAAACAGAAGTGGGCCTCCCATACATGGAAAAAAATAAGACCCCCCCCAAATAAGCCCTAGTGCTTATTTTGTGGCCCAAAAGAAAATAAGACCCGGTCTTATTTTTAGGGAAACACGGGTATATAAAGCAGCATATTTAACCACTGACCATCTTTCTGTTACAATTGGGATAATTACCTCTGCCCATCATTCCAAGGGAGAACATTTTTGTTCATGTTCCCTGCTTGCTATCACTTATGTCTGAACTTGCTGTCAAGCTAAACTGCGAAATAGGGATTGAAAGATGTACTTGAACTACGAAAATATTGTTTAATATTTTGTGCCAGAAGGAAAAAAGCATGCTTTTGTTCTATTTACCCTATTTTACAGTAACTCTTTATTTGCCTATCGGAAATCTATTTTGGATTGAAATGTGTATTTTAATTCCTTAGTTATGTCCCATGGAATTATCATGAACCATTGCCTGGAATTTACAAGTTTTCTGGGGACAGAAACTTGGAAGGATTCTTGGACTTAGTGGCCCAATTAGGGCTGTTGGTGATTTTGCGCCCTGGACCCTACATCTGTGCTGAATGGGATATGGTAAGGGCTATGTAAAGATTTAGATAAGTCATTATTATTTTAACACACACACACCCCAAGAGAGCATAAATAATGTCTTTGACCTTTGTTGCACAATTGGTTTACTTTGATATCTTTTTTCCTAGGGTGGCCTTCCATCTTGGCTGTTGGCAGAACCAAATATTATTCTACGAACATCTGATCCAGGTAAAGGGGAAATCTGAACCAGAGAAAGAAAACAGAATTTCCTCTAGTGCAGAAGCAGAGCACCTATATGAACTTAATAACAAAGCTCAATGTATTCTTCCAGACTTCTCTGTATGCAGCCTTGTAATCACCAGCTCTATCTTAGCACTACACGGGAAATTGAGCAGAGTATCCTCATTTTTAGCTGAACAAGTTGCTTTCTGCTCTCAGGTTTTCTGCAAGCTGTCAACAAATGGCTGAGTGTCCTGCTACCCAAGATAAAACCTCGTCTTTACCAAAATGGAGGTAACATCATCAGTATCCAGGTGCGTGAAGCATAAGACATTTTAGACATTTCAATCCAGAATAGATTTCTGACCCCCATTTCAAAACAGAATTTCAAGGTGGAACTCTTATTTCCACCTAGATAAAAGCAAAAGTTTCACTTTCTTCAAAACAATAAATCACATTATCCAATCCAGGCACTGGCTGATTACCTGGCAACTCCTTCCTCCACCTCCAGCCAGACGACAGTTGGAATGTCCTTGACCTAGGAATGAACTAATTTATTTTAGTTACAACACCTCCCCCACTACCCCCAGCTCCAAGCTTTGTCAAGCTGGAAGCAAAGTGAAAGAACCCGTAATAGAACTACAGAAAAGGAAAAATTCCCATAGCTAGAACAGCTTTGGGGTTAGCAGGGGGAATGCAAGTTTTTTCATTTTCATTAAAACAGATGGACCCTGAACAACAATGTTTTTGGAAAAGGTGAAGATCAGACAGTGGCTATAAAAATTCAATTCTGGAATCTATTGACAAATTTTTGCCTAGCGGAATCCTTTTGGATCTTAAAATCATGTTATCAAGTGTCCAACATTTTACACAATCTATCAAACAGCAAAGACATTTTAGCACCCTTCTGACTTATGCAGAGGGAGAGCAAGCTGCTTCCTTTAAAACTAGCTCAGTTGCATCTACTTGGGAAATCATATGGGAGAAGTGGGCTGCATAAGCTGCTACATATGCAGCATTTGACAAATGTGTCTTATTAAAAGCTGATCCTTTGGCAAATGAGGGGCTCTAAGTCACCATCCTTTAATTCCCCACTGTTCTCTAGGCAGGTGGAGAATGAATATGGAAGCTATTACGCATGTGACTATGACTATATGCGTCACCTTCTGGCTGTTTTCCGCTTATATTTGGGCAAAGAAGTTGTGCTTTTCACAACTGATGGCGTCAAAGAATCTGATCTGCAATGTGGGACCCTGCAAGATTTATATTCCACTGTGGACTTTGGATCAGGTAGTGCAAGGTTAAATGATCTGCACAGAATTCATAGGATCTGGAATGGAATTATCCTTTGACTTCTACTTTGTTTTTTGTTCTTTGACAGAGATAAATGTGACACAAGCATTTGAACAGCAGCGTCTGGTTGAGCCAAGAGGACCACTGGTGAGATCAATTGGCCTTGCCATGTAGGAAGAAGCAATCTGGCTTTATAATGTTCATTTCTTCTGAGCACCTAGAGAAGAGGTGGTATTCTGCTGGTTCTGACCGGTTCTCCCGAACCGGTAGCAGAAATGGCGGGTGGCCCGGCCCACCCAACCCGGCTTTATGGCATCCCATTTAGGCCCTTTTTTAAGGCAAAGTGCATATGCGGAAGGCCGAGCACATGCACGGATGTGGTAGGGAAGGTAAGTAAATATCACCCCTGTCTTAGAGATGCTTCCAGGGAATTGCTAAGGATAGGATATCAAAAGTATTCGTGTATGCTAAATCCTTATTTGCCTCTGTGGTTTGTAAGTTAGTGCTACAGCAATAGAAATTGTAGTACTTTGATCCTCCTGTGTGCTGCTTGGGGAATCCAAGCATGGGTTAACTTTGTCCATTAGCCTAGAGACTGANTAGATGATCATCTAAACAGATACGTGACCAGGAATTCAGGGGCAGCTATTTTAAGCTGCCACCATCAGTAAGCTCCGCCCAGGAAGTCCGCTTCAGCCTTTTTTGAGGCCATTTTTTGCCCTCCCCAGGCTCCAGAGGCTTTATAGGACCCTGGGGAGGGCGAAAACAGCCCCGGAGGCCCTCCAGAGGTTTCATGAGCCTCCCTGAAGCCTCTGGAACGCAAAAAACTGGCCCTACGGGCAAACCAGAAGTTCGGGAATGGACTTGCGGTTTGCTCATAGTCATTTTTAGTCCTCCAGGGCCTTTCAGCGACCTTCAGGTGGCTTCCCTGAAGGCTCCAGAGGACGAAAAACAACCCTACGAGGAAACCGGAAGTCCATTCCCGAATTTCTGGTTTGCTCGTAGGGCTGTTTTTTTGTGCTCTGGAGGTTTCAGGTAAGCTCCTGAAGCCTCGGGGCAGCGAGGCTGTTTTCACCCTCCCCAGGCTCCTATAAAGCCTCTGGAGCCTGGGGAGGTTGAAAAAAGCATTCAAAAAATGTGGGGGATGCTGGGGTCGCGCATTGCATTATGGGTGTGGCACGCCCACGGGCAACCCCCCTGCGCCATTGCAACCGGTACGGTGCAACAGGGCCCGGCATCCACCACATGAACGCGTGCATGCGTACTTACTGCCTGCGACACTCCGCAACACTCCAGCTGCTCGGTGGAGCGTCGTGCAGGGAACGTACGCTCCGTGCGTGTAGGCCCTGAAGAGCTCAAATACCGGGAAAAGGAGCACGGGCAGACCCTCCGGAGCACCGGAACGGTATCCGGTGCTCCCGGCAGGCACCAGTTGTAACCCACCACTGTAACTGAAGTGCCAGAACTACATGGCAGTCAAGTGACATTGCATTTTACATCATTTAGCGACAAACTCTGATCCAAATTACCATAAGGATTACTGTTACTACTGTAATAATCCATTATTACTGATAGGTTTTGATACTGTTAGCATCTTTGTTGATAAATTTCCCTTTGAAAAGCATGTTAAACCATCTTAGTTTACAATCAGGGATTGAAAATTGAAGTTGCCCCAATGACACCAGGGAATTGGGGAAAAATGTTTAATTATGAGAGACAACACTAGAGAAATAGTTGTCNAAATAGATCTTGTTGGAAGGGATTAAGATGAGTCAACAAGACTGTCTGCATGAAGGAGAAGAGGAAAGGTGAGATTTCAGCCTCAGCCAAATGTTCCCAACAAAGACAGAAAATTCTAAAGGATGCAGATGAGACCACATACTTCTCAGAATGAGAATTCCACTGATTTGAGGTTGTCATGCTTTGGGAGTTTACATCTTACCAGTCCAGCACCAATAAAAAAATTAGTATCAGGTTTTACAATATTGAGAATTCATTTTCCACACAGACCAATTTCAGAAGCAAGATTATGAGGCCAAATAATTTCCCAGCTACAATATAGAAACTGAGGTTTATGAAAGAATGCACATTTCACAGTTATCAATTAAGTAAAAAGCTGGCAAGCAAATTTACTAATCTTTTTCCACACAGAAGAATCCAGTGGATGAAGGGCTGGTTCAGCCAGGGATGGAGCAAAATACATATCAAACTGCAAGTTGGCGAAAATAATTCAAGTTATGATGTAGAACTTGTATTCGTGACTGTGAAACTTCAAAATATACACATGGGCACAAATTTCCAGCATCTAATTTTCTCAGACACAATTTTCTGGAAACTTGTTTTTAGAGAAACTAAGAGTATAAGACACAGAATCAAGCGGGGAAAAAGGACAGTTTTAAAAATGGTTATTATACCAATGTTTGGTACAATTATACACTTGTCTAGTCAGAAGGGGATGTGATGGCTCAGTGGCTAAGACGCTGAGCTTGTCGATCAAAAGGTCAGTAGTTTGGTGGTTTGAATCCCTAGTGCCGCGTAACGGGGTGAGCTCCCGTTACTTGTCCCAGCTTCTGCCAACCTAGCAGTTCGAAAGCACGTAAAAAATGCATGTAGAAAAATAGGGACCACCTTTGGTGGGAAGGTAACAGTGTTTCGTGCGCCTTCGGCATTTAGTCATGCCAGCCACATGACCACGGAAGACGTCTTCGGACAGCGCTGGCTCTTCCGCTTTGAAATGGAGATGAGCATCGCCCCCTAGAGTCGGGAACAACTAGCACATATGTGCGAGGGGGACGTTTACCTTTACCTAGTCAGAAAGTAATTTTCATTTATTCAGATGACATAATCCTACTCTTCTTTCCCTTAATGACACTTGGCCAGGATTGTCCATCCCCCCTCCCCCCAGAAAAGCTAAGTATAGAAAGCAGAATTGTCTCAACATTTTAACTATCTGCAGTTTAAAATTTTAGGTCTTCCTGGAGTATATAACATCTACTGCCAGCATCTCATTTGGAAAGCATATATAAATTACAAGCTATATAAACAACAGAAAAGAATGGCTTGATGCGGCAGTTTTCAATTAGATGTAGAAGATAAAATCCCATCCAAGGAGACAACTCAATAAACACTTCTTAAAACTATATGGGCAAAATGAAAGTTATAACTTTTGAACTATGTATTTAAGAATCTGTGGAGTATACAAAACTGTCTAAGTCTTCTGAAGAATCAAGTATCTCTCTATCATTGGTAAAAAAATAAGGTTCACTAAAAATAAACTTTCTTTAATAGAGTTTTTTCAGATACTTGCTCCTTCAGAGGATTTCTTGAAGCAACAGTCAAATTGGGATTATTGGTATAATTTGATTTAATGTAAATGTAACTGAAATTACATTAGAAAATATTCTCCATGAAATCAATAATATGTCTTTCTACTGCATTACAAATAGCAATTTGATAGCAACCTTAGAAAGGTCCATACACTACATTTATGGCTTTCTTGGGCCCAAGGTGTACAGTTGCTATGTCTCTGAAGAATTATTTTTACAATTAGGGCATTTATCTTAATATCTAACAAAAAGTAAATTACCTGAAGTTCGAGCAAGCTGTACTGCTTCCTAATATAATATAAAATATATTGTAATGTTTTAATATTTAAAAAAATCAGAAAAGCCTGTTAGCCTTTTCAAATCCTGCAATTTGTGGGGTATCACTGGGCTGAACACTTTCACTCCGCCTATTAATACAGTTGCAAGAAAAAGTATGTGAACCCCTTGGGATTAGGTGGAGTTTTGCATGAATTGGTCATAANGGAGGAGGAGGAGGAGGAGGAAAAAGAAAAGAATTCAATAATGAGGGTTGACCATTAAAATGGAGCTCTTTCAGTGATAAATTGTTGAACCAAGTTATGATCTCAACTCCAGAATAACTGATATAGAAGAATGGGACCTTATTTGATGCTTTTGTCTCATATTTTTAGAGTTTTATTTGTACTTTTTCCATGCCATTCTGCTAAAACTGATATTTAAGCTGTCTAAGAGCAATGAGTAACAGAGGATTGAATCCAGTGATGTGTTTATATCAGTAGATGTGATTTCTGCCAGTACAATGGGAGAGAGAATCAGTATCCTCCATTCTTTTGGAGTGTACTTTCAGAGGGCATGGGGATGGGAGAATGGCAGAAGGGAAGAGCAGAGAAGGAAGTCCCATTGTGTGAGCAGATTTAATTATAATTAAACATAAAAACAATTAATTAAGCACACAATTAAAACATAATCAAAACACAATTAAAAACCCATCAACAAGAAGCAAATAGCATCCAACCAATTAAAAACTAACACAGCAGAGAAGCCAGCTACCATGCCAAAAGTCTGCATGAATTAGAACATCTTCATTTGCTAGGGAAGGAGAATAGCTAGCCTCCTTTGGCAGGCAGTTATGGAACCTGTGAACAACTTTCTATTGTAAAGCCAGCACCTTGAACCCTAAATTTGGAAACTTATTAAATCATACATGCCACTTGCTTATTCTAGTAAATCAACTTGATTGCCCTTTATTGAAGTAGGAGATTCAAAACATGGTTCAGAAATAAAATTCAGTGACCTACTAAAATGTGAAAGTTACCAGGGTATTAAATATTGTTAGGAATAAATTTCATGCTGGCAAGGATACTTCTGATTTGTAATCCATATGTGTTAGGAAAATGCTCTGTGATCTACAAGTACTTCTTCTTCTTCTTTTTCTATTCATAAGACATGCTGAATCTCAGAATAAACCCAGGCTACTAATCAGACAGATCAACATTTCTATGTTTGGTTGAACACTACTTCCATGCTCAATGAAAGTGCTCTCACCCATCAAGCCTTTGATCTGAACTGAATTCAGGTTCACTTACTTAGTAACTGGAAACAAGTCATGGTTTGCTTAACCATGGTTACTGGAAAAGCCCCAGTTAAAAGAGTTCACACTGTGGATTTCGCCAGACCAATGGTAGGCCAGTTTGCTCATGTATGCGCCATGCACGTGTGCTTCATGTGTGTTGCACATGCATGCACAGTGCAATTAAAATTGTTTTGGGCATGCACAGAAGCAAAAAACAAGATGGTGGTGCCTACAGTGCCACCCAGAGAACCAGTTCGGAGGCGTGGCAG